GTTCGATAATGGAGGCAGTATACTGGCATAATATCACGCCGAAGGATGATATATCGTCGACTAATGCACCTGCCAATATGATTCACTGTTACCAACTGAAAGTAAAGGGAATTCCTACAACATTACCACCTGATCGTTGTAGGTATCACAATATATACAAAGTTGGGAACAGAATATGGGTGAAAGCTCCCCATGGCCAGTGTACCTCCAGGTATCAAGTGGGTCGAGTTACAGACATTGTAAGTCCACAAACAATACTAGTTGACGGGATGCCATGGGATGTAAAAGATCTTCACCTTTTCGTTGATTCTGATACATCGCCGATGATGGTTCATCATCTGACAGTGATCGGATAATTGAGATCTGCAAATCCATTGCTTCCACAGACACAGAGTTTCCAGAAACTCAAGATATGTCTGATGACTCCTCAGGAGATGACTCTCCGACACACATAAGGGAGATAGTTCCATTACGACAAAGCACCAGGATAAAGAGAGCTGCTCCAAGCTGTTCAATTTGTGATAATGAGGTCAGGGGGAGTATAGTGAAGAAAACAGCGACTTACCTCGTCAAACCAAGTGACAGCACGTCATGTGTATCCTATGACAGAAAATTTTGGTGAAAAAGAAAATTACTTACCAAAAAAGGGCACGTATTCTGCATGACATGCTGAAGACGGAATATTTAAGTTAAAAAAAAAGTCCATCGCAGGAGTCGCTATAAAAGTATTTTTATATTCAAAAATTGAGCATCCTCTTCCAGCTGTTGACAAATGGAAAAATGCTCAGCCAATAAAAGCAGTTGATGTTCTCGAATCAGAACAAAATTCGGGTATTTTGGCTACTGCATTTGTTGGAGAGCGAGTTATTTTTCTGACTGGTTGTGTGCATTGTGAGATAGTATCTGCGAATCAAGTTTTCTGCATTTCTTTCTGCCCTTGATGTTCGAGTCTGAGTCGAGTGATTTATTCTCTGTTGTGGAAGTAATCTGAAACAAATGTTTCCTTTGCAATCCCAGATCACTTACAGAAGGTTATTGGGATTAGGAGGTGGGAGAGGCTTAAAGATAGGATTAGGTCCTTCACTACCAAATATAACCAGTGGCTCGCACTAGATAAGGCTAAAAAGGTGAAGACACTTAAAGATAGCTTGTCCCGGATGGAGGCTGGTGGGGATTCCCTAGAGATAGGTTTATGTAGGCAGGCTCTTGAGCAATTGACTAGCGAGCGCTAAAAGGGTCAGGTAGATAGGCATAGGTTAAACAAGATGTCTAACGAAGCCATGAACATGGACGCACAACTACACAAGGAAGAGATCCATCGAGGTTCTGATCATTACATTCATGATGTTAAAACCCCAGAGGGGCATACTCTAAGGTCAACTGATAATATGTGCAAGGCATTTTGGTGGCATTTCAAGAGCTATTTTTCCAAGGAGCCTGGTCTCAGTGGCAATGAGTTTTTCAGCTATTTGGCTGACTTTCCTTGGCTTTTGCCAACTGAAGTTGCTAGCTGCAAGGGTGAGATCAAGGAGAGCGAAGTCTACTTGGCATTGAAGAGGGTCACCAGTGTCAAGTCTCCGGGACTTGATGGTTTACACTTTGAATTGTACTTGAGGCTGTCACACATCTTTGTGCCAATTTTGACTGTTGTGTTCCACAACTGCTTTTGGAAGGTGTCCATCCCCAGTTGGATTACCAGGGGTGTGGTCACACTGTTGAAAAAGGGCAAGGATGAAGGGCGGGAATTAGATGATTACAAGCCCATAACTCTGCTAAACACAGAGTTAAAGATTTTAACCAAGATCCTGACAGAGCATTTGCAGTCAGTTGTCAAGAGTCTGTTGGGACCCTATCAGACTTGTGCTGTGAGGAGCTAAACAATTCAGAGCAACCTGCATCTGATCCACACAATCCTAGAGGGTGTAAAAGATGAGCAAGCCACACTGATCAATTTGGATTAGTCCAAGACATTTGTAAGGGTTGATCATCAGTACCTGGCTGCTGTCCTGCAGGCTGCCAGATTCCAACTCGACTTCTGTAAGTGGATTAGCCTCCCGTATCGCTCCCCCAGTACTGTGGTACAGGTGAACAGAAAGCAGTCGCATGCTTTTACGCTGTCTCGATCGGTTCGTCAGGGTTGCTCACTGTTGCCCCTACTTTACGCTTTGGCGTTGGAGCCTCTCCTTCACCAGCTGAGAGACGGGGTGAGTATTCCAGCCCTACATGGAATCACTGTCCCTGGTGGAGCTTGAATCAAGGTTTCTGCGTACCCTCATGATATATCCATTTTTGTGTCATGTCGCAGCGACATTGAGGTGGTACAGAAAGTGCTTGAATGGTACGAAAAGAACACAGGGGCCAAGATTAACTGCAACAAGACTTCCAGTTTGTGGTTAGGTTCCTGGAAGGGGGTTGCTCTTCTGGGGCCCTTTAGCTGGAAGGACAGTCCTGTCCGCATTCTTGGTGTGTGGTTTGGACCCAACCTCCAGCTGGAGAAAACTTGGTCAGAAGTACAGGCAAAGGTCAGAGCATTGGTTGGGACTTGGCTCCAAAGAAGGTTGTCCTTGAAGGGTAGAGCTGAGGTATGTGCCACTTACATCTTTCCTCTTATTTTTTTACCACTTGGCTGTAAAGAGGAAAGGTATAAGATTGCCTTTTCCCCCACTTCCCCTTTGGCCATGTGCCATAGTTATTGTATTGTATACAGTAATAAATAATTATAAAGTTCTAATTTACCAAAAGTTTAACTATGTGCATTATTTATTGTCAGTGATTTGTACAAAGTTTGTCCCTCCCAATATGAAATTATATCTTGCAACAGTAGAATCACTGTGCTTTAACAAAGCTTAACCTGGTTTTAATATTTTCTGTGATGTATTACACATACATCAGGTTAAAATAAGCACATCATATATAAATAGATTTTTAAAAGTTTCTCTAACATCGTTACAACTGAGCACCAATTTTTGACTTCCCTAATATTAGTACTAAATGCAGCCTTTCCTCACAGTTCAGACATCAACAAAGTATGTCTCAAGGGAATGTACTGAAACTGCTAATCTAGTAGGCCAATACTTAGAATTACTAACTGCTCACATTAAGTAACAAAAGTAACACTTAACTCGGTTAAAGAAAAATATTTCTTCTTTTTGTTTGCTTACATATTTAAATTAGATTTTCTTGCATTAAAATAAACACAAATTAACATTTTACTCTCCACTTTTCTTTTACTTTAAGAAAAAAAAAGTAGCTTAACCCTAAAGAAAACAAAATGTTTTCAGTCATTTGCTATCAAATCACGTTGAGTTAATATCAAAAGAAAAGTCTTGAAAACAAAACTCTCTACACTATTTTTCTTTTGTCCTCAGAAAATTTGACACACAACATATTGAAAGCAAGAGACAGAAGAAAGTAGCAAGTTATCTACCTGACCACCTTGTATGAATGGATGGCAGAAGAGAAAGTGGGAAAGATGATAAAAAACAAATCTTAGTAAGAGTTACAAGGGAGAGGAAGTTGCAAAGAGCCATGATCACCCAGGTCTTGAAGGGACAAGACACATAGATGATATAAAAACTGGGGAATAGTGAATGATAATGCAGCTTCAGTTCTTGAAGAAGTGATACTTGCAAATAAATAAACTCAATTACCTCATCTAAATTTAGAAGAATTAAAAAAAAAGCAAGAAATCATTATGTACTACATTTGATATTTAGGAATACGTTCCTAAAGACTTGCTTTGTTTATAGAGATGGCATCTTATAAAGACATTTGGCAAAACAAAACTATTATGTGAATAGAAAGAAAAAGGTAAATTCCCATAGGCTGGGGGATGACTCATTTGTTTTCTATGGCTTATCAATAATTTGCAGATTATTTAAAGCCAGAAAATAACATCATTGCTGCCACAGTTATATAACAACTCCAATATCCAAAATTGTTCATAAAATACAATATGTAATATTTATAAATTATAATTACATATTTCTGGGGAAACAACTGTTCTTGAAAAGCAACAAAAATAAGCCAGTAATTTTTTTTTTAATCACAGTAATTAATGATTTATAATGAAAACCTCATAATGCCATATTTTAAGTGATGTCAGCAGCCAAAACTCAAGGCTATACATGATAACCACTAGATAGCCTAGAATATATTTATTCTCTAGAATGAGATAATATTTTATTAAATTTACTGCAATGATTCACAAAATGTTCTCAAACAGCTGTTAAAAATACATAAAATAGTAGCTATGTGAAAATGAATGGCAATAACAAAGGCTTATATTGATACAGGTACAAAAATTCCAACAATTAATGGTTTGGTACATTAATTCAGACAAAAATGACACTTGATGTACTTGTTACCTGACTAGTTTACATAATATATGCTGATTTCACTTATTATCTTGCAATTTTGAATGGATTTTCGTTGTTTACTTATTTTTCTTGTAGTTAATTGTTACAGAAATCTACAAGAGAAATGACTGGATGAAGAAGAAATACCAGTCCATATCAATCCAAGAATTAGTGAAAGTGTTGAAAAGAAAACAGTGTATCAAAACTGTAATTCACCTATTGATAAAAATTAAACTTTGAAACTTCTATCAACAGAAATTTCAAGAAACAAAAATTATTACAAAAAGCTATGAAACTATTTAGTATAGAATGTTGCTAAATGCTGGCTCATGTGTGTAACCAACTTTAAATTTATTTAACTTCATTTGATCTAGCAAAACTGTTAATCCTGCATCTGTTTGGATAGCAGAAATTCTTTATTTTAACAATATTTCAAAGTTTATAAATATGAAAATTCTGCTACATTGGATATAAGAAACTTAAGTTTATAATCTCATGGCTAAAGTTACAGAGAAGAGAGAAAAATGTAAAATGGGGTGCTTTAGTAATAATTTGTTTTAACTAAAAATATAGGACATCATTTTGCTTTATTCATAAATAAAAAAACAAAGTATGTAGTTAGAATAAATCTGATCTACTCACAACATCAGTGGCAACTGGCTTCTCTTCTTTCTTGCCTTTTTTCATGATTGGAGCAAAATTGATTCAGCAACACTAAAAGAAAAGAAAAAGACTAGAGTTTTTTAAATCTGAAGCAGATCCCATTGATTGAGAAAGTTTGTTACTGGTTCCAGATATACAAAGAATATATTAACACATTATAAAATAAGGTATACTTGATAATAGTAATTTATGCACATGTGTGGGTGTATACATTAAAATAAGTAACTCCAAAAACTTTCTAAGAGCATACCACGATAAAAAAAAGCTCCAAACTTGATAAAAACAAAGTTTTATTGTCAAAATCTTTGTCATTATTAAGAGGAAAGGCCAAAGTATTTTTTGATTATTTTATTAAAATTTTTAATCCTTTCTAGCATGTTTGAAATTTTGGTTAAAAACCATGTTTTTCTTGTGACAGCAGGTGGACCAAAGATTTGTATAGGGAATTTTAACATCATTTTGATGTTAAAAACAGAGTTTTGAAAATTCTTACAAAACTCAATTAATTGTCAGATTTTAATTAAATTTTCAGGACTTATTCACAAATGAAATTATTTTTGTAATTCTTTTTAAAATCTTTGCAAAAATATTTTTACAAAAAATTTTTTAACATCTGTTACATTCACTTACTTAATTTTATGAAATTTTGAGAAATTAAAATTTCAGATTCTTCATATTTATAGTAGTTAAAAGCAGAATCCTTGGAGAATTTAAACCATCAATTTGTTTTTGTTGAACAGCAACACCATATCAAAAATCTGCCCAAAATTGTAAAATAAAAAATGCAATAAAAGTATGATATTAGAAAAGCTTTAATTGCTTTTCTAAATAAGATATATTAAGGGCACTATTGTCTTAAGAAAAAAAAAATGTTTTTCGATGAATAATCATTTTCATTTTTTCAATTAGAAAAATTCATTTAGTTTTAAATGCTTTAAATATGACAGAGAGAGTTGGCAAAATTAAAATAAGTGTTAATTAACAAAGCATAATGAGTTGATTAGGGTTCGTGTGGTAGTAAACTTGAGGCTATGAGTAACTTGATGAAATTAACAGACTAACTGAAAATTAAAAAGTGACTGGCTTAAGGAAAAGGTTGAAAAAAAAAAAAAAAAAAAGAGAGGAGAAAAGAAAAGAAAACAATTCTTCCTATTATTATTTCTATTTTTTTTTGAGTGGGGGAGGGAATACCAAAAATTTTATCTGCTGTTTTTTTTTTTATTGTGGATGTAAACAATGAAGTAGACATCCTGGCAACCAATAGCTCCGAACAAGTGACTGACCATTGTTGGAGAAGTTAACGCGTCCTGGTGAAAAGGCTACCCAGAAATATGTGTGCGGACAGGTTGGAATTGACCAGGAGTCGAAGGGTAGCAGATAAGAACAATTCTCATATGGTGATTGGCTGTCACAAGGACACCCGGAACCATGTGGGCAGCCAGGATATAGTTGGCCAGAGGTAAGAGGAGTCGAGGGTGGCTGATAACAACAATTCTCAGGTGGTGAGGGGCTGTCCCATTTGTATCTTGTATTAATTTTAGCATTTTAGATATTATTAAGTGAAAAACTACATTTATTAATCACAAATGGAAATGTTTAATACAAATCAAACACCAATATCTTTAAAAGAATTTTGAATTATTTTGTATGTGTATAAACGTGTCAATTTTTGTAAGTACAGGTGACCATACACAACATTATCAGAAAATAAGAGCAATAACTACAGTAAATTTAAAGTCAACATTTCTAAACTTCAATAAAACAGATACAGAAGTGGTTATTATGGAGATTTGTTTCATCTTATATTTTAATTAAAATTTCTTCAAGATAAAAAAAACAATATAAAACATTAACAACTTTGAATAATAGGCTGATATTTTGAATGTTTGGATTTGTGCTCCACCACCAATCTATGGCTTCACATACAGCAGTTTTTAATTCAGAAGTTAGAACATTAGAATGAAGATGAAAAGGTTAACAATTCAATACCAGATACCAAATTATTAAAACTTAAGTAACTAAGAAAATGAATTTAAAAAAAAAAAAAAAGTCCCATAAAACATTTAGGATTTAAGAAAAAATAAAGGATCAAAGTAAATCACAAATTGTCAGTTTATATAATTGACCAGTGAGGAATTTGTTTAAAGAAATAAATGCTATTACAGAAAAAAAAAAAGATTAAATACAAACAGCTGGGCTGAAAAGTTGTGGTTCCAACTCACCTCACAAAATTTGAGTATTAGTTTGTCACAGTTACAGGAAAAAGTTCTTTTATATTTGGTACACAGCCAATTTGCAAGATCCTTGTTTTTTATTGAATTTGCTTTCAATCATTGACTGAACTATGTCAAGAGAAAGTAGAATTTTTAAATATGGAACTCCAGGTCAGCCTGAAGTTTGTGTTACTGCAAAAAGAGTAAAAATTCCAAACAAAATCTATGTGCACAAAATACAAACATTAAATGTCAAGTGTCTCTCATACGTGACAAGACTAGCAAGCTGGTGATGGATACAATCTTGCTACTTATATTAACAGAAAACATCAATATGCCACCTTCCAGTATTGAAATTTTGAAATTCAACATACAACATGGTTTGGGAGGCATCCAACAATGTGAACTGCTGAAATTGTTGATTATATCTATAGCCTAATTTAACTGACAAATATTGACCAAAGGAATTGCTGAGGCACTCAAGATATTCAGGATATGGGTTAGACTTATAATTCAGTTGTGTATGCAAGTGTGTGCCATAATGTTTGATTTCTAACCAGAAATGATATTAAGTGGATACCTCTAAGTAGATTTTGCAGCATTTTCAGGGATCTTATGATTATTTAGTGAAGAACAACTTGTCACTGTTGATGAAATAGGGCTACATCAGTATGATCCAGAAACTGAACAACAATCCATGCAGTAGCAACACATGTTCTCCAGGACTAAAGAAAGTCAAAAACCCCAAAATCAGTAAGAAAAGTCATAGCTGCATTTTTTTTTTTCCAAAAAGAAAAGCATTTTGATGACTAATGATTTTCGGAAGGGTCAAACTGTTCATAAAGAATACTAATCTAACTTGATGTGCCAATTATTGAAAGTGTTAAAAGAAAAATGGTATGTGATGAAAGAAGCTGTAGAAAGCTGGAATGACAACAAATGTTTTCCAGAATTTGTAAGTTTATGGCCTATCCACCCAACTCATTAAATCTCATTCCATCTGACAAATTTCTCTATCCAAACAGTAACACATTTTTAAAAGTGGTGGGGGGATTTGTAATGTTACGGAATTAAAAATAGCAATGGAATAGTATTTGAATGACCAAAAATCCACACCTGCAGATGGAAGAGAAAGAAACTTGAGTAATGATACACCAAATGTGTTGAACTACAGAGAATATAGCACATATATTTTATGGTACACTAGGTCATTCCCTTCTTGGCATGGCAGAAAAATTTTGGCACATCATAATATCTAAATATCAGAAGACAGGTTTTGAGAAGTTGAACAATAATAAATGCAATAAGACTAAGATATTATTTCATTAGAAAAAGCTTTTAATTGCTTATATGAATATGATATATTATGAACACTTAAGTAAAAAAGTTTTTTTTTCAAATAATGAATTTTTACGATTTGTTTTCTTTTTTTAATATTAATTATAACAATTTATAAAATTTTAATTCTTTTTGTAAATACAGACATCCATACATGAAATTATGAGAATATAAGAGCAATAACTATAGTAAATTTAAAGCCAAAGTACCTAAAATTCAATAAAACATTAGTTTATGGAGAATATTTTCCAAAATATTTCAGATTACTGGGTAATTAAAAATTATATAAAAAAGGCACTCATGTTATATTCCTCAAGTAATTTTTACAGATATATCCACCATAGAAAAAAAAACTTCAATAAACTTCCATCTGTGAGTCAAGCTGTCAGCACCTTAAACAGTTACTGTTGTTAAAAATGCATTTCTGCAATATTTTAAAGTAATATTTCTTTCAAGTAATATTAATTAAACTTTAAATCAGCTAATATTCTTCAAATAAAGTTTCAGTAAATTTTATTTTTGAAAGATTTTTTAATAAAGAGAATTACAAATAATTATGATGACAGATGGCTAAAATGGAGCTAAAATCAGCTATTTTAGCAATTTCAAAACGAAAAGTCCTTCCAGTCAATTTAAATTAGTTGCAACTGCTGAAAGAAGTTTCAGTAAAGTAAAACTTATTCAAAATTATCTGTAATCTACAAAAGAGAGATGTCATGTTATCTGAGTTAGCAATAATTTCCATTAAAAATGAATATGCTCAAGCTTTTGACTGTGATGAAGCATTATATAAAATTCACTATTTTTATCCATAATGTTTAATGTATTAAAATTATTCAACCTTTTAACAAGAAAAATCTCAAGTTGATATTAAAAATTGCCACACAACATGGATTTATTGAAAATAGAATTATATATTTATAACATGTCAATAAATTGCATTTTTCAATTTTTCTTGTTGAATTGTTCACCTATATTGCATATGATCCATTATTGTACATAATTAGATTACAATAAAATTTATATTTTATGAATACTACCTTGAGATGTAGTAGAGTGGAGGAGCTCTGTATAATAGATTTGAGGAGGGGGGCACCTGACACTTACACTGGCCCTCTATCATGCATACATTGAATTTTTATATTCAAATACAGTTTCAATAATTATAAAGAAAAGAAAACTTGGCTATTTTTTTATCTTATTTTTGACAACAGTAATCCAGAGGAAGCAGTAAGATCAACTGGTTCTGCAAAAAAATTCAGCTATTTATCAGGAGTCCAATAGGAAAGTCCACTTTAAATATAGGCTGTTCATTCGTAGTCATCACAAATTGTGGCACTATAATTGTACTTGAACTATTAGAAGCACTGGAATGTGACCAGAGGTAGAAACATGTTGACTTTTTCTGGACATCAAAGCATGGGCTCGTTGGTTACAGAATATAAAATTCTGTTCTAAAATAAAAGGAAATAT